ATTGACGATGGGCGCGAGGTTGGAGCTCGGTATATCATCCGCCACTGGGGCATTGCGAGTGACACTGATCGCCCCTGAAGGACAATTTTGCCCGATACGGATAACTTCATCTGCGGGTTGCGCATCTGGATGTATCCACTCGCCTTTGACATTAGGAACAAACACATCTGGATGCGAGAGCACACAATTGCGTGAATGTATGCAACGCGCGGTGTCAAAATGGATGGTAACTTCTTTGCCCTGAATGACTTCTATACTCATGATTACTCCTTTAATATAATAATGGCTCTATGTTACCCGATAATTGCGTCTATGTTGGGGGCTTTACCTTACCAGCCATGCATGCAAACGCAGATTGGCTTTGGGAAGCACATAGGAGAGGACGAGGCACATCAGTAAAACCATGACCGCATCGTCAGCCCAAGGCGGCAGTTGGGTCAAAATAGGCCCAAGCACTGGCAAGAGAAAAAACTTGATAGCTTCTAAAGTGGGGTACACCACAGCAAAGTTCAGTAATACCATTTTCCAAAATTTGGGCGTTTTCATAAAAATAGATTTCTCCTCATGAAATATCAGCGCAAATTGCCCTGAGCAAATGCCGCAAAAACGCCTTCCGCGCCAAAGGCTGCGAAAAATCCCTCTGCCGCTGGGTTGGTGTAGTCTCCCAACATATGCGTAATCATGGGGGTCACGGTCATCATGTCTATGCCCGCCTGCTGCAAGGTAATGCGTGAATTTGCTGCCCCTATGCGGGTATTGCCGCCTGAGATGTCCATCAACGCCACCACGTTAAAGCCTTCCTCTTTGGCTGACAAGGCAGGCGGCACCAAACACACCTCGGTTGTCAGGCCACCCATTAGCAAGTTCTTTTTGCCTGTGGCACGCACGGCAGCCGCAAATGCAGGGTCGTCCCAGGCGTTAATCACCCCGCTGCGTTTGATGCGCGCAGCGTACTCTGTGGGCATAATGGTCTCGAACTCTGGCAGCAGAGGGCCTTGGGGTTGGTCTTCCATGCTGCTGGTCAGCACGATGGGCATACCCGCGCTTTTGGCAAAACGGGCCATCACCCGCGTCCACATCTTGAGTTGCTCACGCTCTTGCTCGTTGGCCAATTCGCCCGCCCAGCCTATCGTTCCCACCTGGTGGTCTACCAGCACCAAGGCCGTGTTTTTTGTATCTAAAGTGCGGTATCCTGTTGCTCCTGTTGCATTGCTCATAGCGTTAAATCCTTTAAAAATAGTTGAAGAGGAAAGCATAATAGCAACATCTATAAATAAAACAATAGATAAAAACAGGATACACTATTTCATATTTAGGATAATTGCAAAGGTATGAATACGCATGAATATCTGGGGGATATCCCGCTTTTTGTAGAGCTAGGCAAGCAGCTCAGCTTTCAAAAAGCCGCACACTCTTTAGGGGTTTCCAGTTCCACCCTGTCGCGGCGCATACGGCTGCTGGAAGAGCGCATAGGCATACAGCTATTTAGCCGCAATACGCGCCATGTCGAGCTTACCAGTGCTGGTCAAGCCTATTACGCCTTAGTCACCTTCATAGTTATCCCTGGACGTTACTTAGGGGTTAGCCTGGATGCCCTTTTGTTCCACGATTAACCCGCCACGCCGCCCACTTTCCTGAGCGACTTTTTTCAAACCTAACCCAATCCCTGCAACCGCTGCATCAAAAATTCACCAAACAGTCTGACTTTGGCGGGTTGCAGGCGCGAGGTCGTGAGCATATGCACCGTTACGGGTGGGGGTTGCCAATTGGGCAGTACCCGCTGTAAATTTCCCCTAGCCAGCTCTGGCGCGGCTATGGCACTGTCTATCATGCCTATGCCGGCATCTTGCAGCACCAGTTCGCGTATCATAATGTAGCTGTTGGCTACCAAAGGGCAATCCAGCTTCAGTTTGCGGGTGCTGCTTCTGTCTATCTTGTCTGTCTTGTCTAAAGCATTTGCAGGTTTTTTGTGCAGCGTCCAATGGCTGGTGCCGTTTTCTGCAAACATTGCTATGCAAGGGTGTTGCGCCAAGTCTTCAGGTGCGGCTGGTGTACCTTGCTTTGCCAGATAGGAGGGCGTAGCATACAGTGCGGCCTGAAACTGCGCGATGGGTTTGGCTACCAGGCCTGAATCTGGCAGTTTACCCATGCGCAGGGCAAAGTCATAATTTTCTGAAACCAGGTCCACACGGCGCGAACCCATTTCCATTTCTATTTTAATGGCC